ATTCACATAGAAGATAAATGTTTATAATAAAAAAAAATAGTGAAATAAAAAGATTCGATATTGTCTTAAACTTTTAAACGTAAATTTATGAAAAAGACAATTTCGAATAAAATAGATGATAACGGTTAATGATTGTCATACAATAGAACATTTATGATAGAATATAATCGATTAGATAATCCTAAAGAAGAAAATCAAATACGTAAATTATAAGGTTATTAAAAGATGAATAAAGTATAAAAAAAAGCTTGTTAGCGCACCCCCTTGGAAGCTGAAATATGGAACTCATATATTCCTCATAAGCCAGAATATACCACTAGTTGCTTAGGTCTATAATAGGAGGTGTCTATAACGAGAGCCTGTATTACTATGGTCTGCAATGGGGATGAATAGGCGGAGGAGTCGCAAAAACTTCGACTTAAAACTTACTCTCACTATTTTCTTCAAAAATATATGTGAGTTCCACAATAGTACAGGATGTCCCATAAATAACAACCTGATAAGAAATTTGAATATCTCCATTACGGCTTGGGCAAACAAACTGATTTTTTTATATCAATGATAGAGACATGTTCAAAGTTTATATCCATAAAGATATACTTAGAGAGACCTTTTGGTAAATATATTGTTTTTTTCCCTATATGTGAAAAAGTAAATTTTTTTTGTTGAGATCCATAGTGACACTCAACAAAGGGTCTCTCTAGGGATGTCTTTATGGATATAAACTTTGAACATGTCTCTATCATTGATAAAAAAAATCAGTTCGTTTGCCCGAGCCGTAATGTAGATATTCAAATTTCTTGTCGGGTTGTTATTTATAGGACACGCTGTATTAACGAGATAATGCTTTCGAATCGTGCTTTTGATTGATACTTGCATAGTTAGTCTACTGCAACAAGCAAAGGTTCTCAGAAGTTTTTTCTCTATAGAACTTTTTGTCGACCGTCTTGTGATGATCATTTTAGTTAAAAAATATTCAAGTTAAGTCAATAAATCATGATGTTAGGACCAAAATACTGAAAACCTTCAACTATTCGTCACTACGGCTGAGCGGTAATGGACGTTTTCGAGTATTTTTCTCCTATCATGATGATTTATTGAGTAAATTTGAATATGTTTTTGTTACCAAAATGATTCGTGCAACGAGCTGTACGAAAGAAAAAGTCCTTTGAGAAGGTTGTATTTATTTAATGTTGACTATCGATGAACTCTCGACCAAAACTAGAATTGGCAATCATTTTATCGTTGGTAAATAATACGATCTAAGCGACAATGTTAAATCTAATAAAATATTTTTCTCAATCATTTTTTAATGTTTTTCATTGTTTAGATGAAACTCTTTTCAGTTGTACGTTGAAAAATCAAATTTTATCTCTTGTTATCGATATTAATACAAATGGAATGGAAAATTATAAACAAGGTAGAAATGCAATTATATTTTCACATATCTTTAGTATGTTCAGTAATTTACGATATTTAAATTTCTGTCCACCTTCAATTGGTCATCAACGATTATCATTTGATACTTCACCTCTAACTGTTATATCTAAAAATTTATTAGAATTACATGTCTCTTTGCGTAGTTTTACTGATTGTCTTTATTTACTTGATGGTCGTTTCAATAAACTTCATACACTTTATGTTAATATATCTTTGATTCGCTCTTTGCCTTTAATAATCAATAATAGGGTAGATTATTTTTTATTTAAATGAATTAATAATACTGGTTTTTTTAAGGAAAAACTATTTAATTTAAAATGCTTTTCACTTCATTGTGCTTGGGAAACATTTGATTATGATGAATTAATTGTACCACTTTTACATCGAATGTCAAATTTAGAAAAGCTTGATTTGAATCTTATTGTTTGTGAAAGAAAAACATTTATTGATGGTAATGAATTAAAGATAAATATTGTTGATTATATGCCAGAATTAAAAAACTTGACATTTAATATTCGTTCAACAAGTAGTTTTTATAATAAAATTAATTTTCCATCAAATGAAGATATTCAAAATACGTTCACAGATTTTAAAGATAAAAAAATAATGTATTGTATTGATTATTTTCCAAAGGCAAAATATGGTCAATGTCATATTTATTCATATCCATATAAACAGAAACATTACGATGGTATAACAAATAATTTTCCTGATGAAATATTTAAATATGTTCGTAAAGTGTCATTATTTGATGAACGACCTTTTGAACATGAATTTTTTCTTCGAATTTCTCAATCATTTCCATTAATGGAAATTTTAATTGTAGTTAATGAAAAACGACAAAATAATAAACAATTTAGAAAATCAAAAAATGAAAATCAAGATTTATCAATTATTGAATATCCTCATCTTATTCAACTTGATCTTTTCAAAGCTCACAAAGACTATTATGAACAATTTTTATACGATACAAAAACGTCTTTACTAAATGATCTTTCTCTTTATACGGCTTATCCAATAATGCAAAAAGTAACACGTAATTTTAGAAGAAATGCAACACGAACTAATTGTTCGAAAATAACTTACCTTTATTTTTATATTAAATCAACATATTCTGAACATTTAAAAGAATATTTTCCTCATGCAAAAATAGTTTGATTATTATTTATTATTATTTAAATAAAACATGAAGAGAAAATAAGATTAATTTACATAGAACTGAAGTGTTGAAACAGAGATATGGAGACTAATTGTTCAATATGTATATTGGAGAACATTTCTTATTATAAATAAATATATGTTTATCTACTTGTGCATATAAATCAGAAAAAAGAAACAATATAATATTAGAATTAAAAAGCAATATTAGACATCAAAAGAAAGATAAATAATTAGTGAATATCGTGATTGAGAGATTTAATTAGATAAGAATGATTCATTTTATTGAATGAGCACTCTATCGATAAAAATGATTAGAAATTAATATGCTTTTCATATTTTCATTGATTCAGTTAATCTATGCAATTGAACATTCATACATTGAGCTCATTTAAATGGTTAGGAATCTTTTAGTTAATTGATCTTCAGTTATTCAAACTCATCTATTGTCCGTTTCAAAATGTAATGTGCTCCACTGTTTTTTGAATAACTCAAGAACGCAAACAGCTAGAGATCTGCGATTTTCACCAGTCGAAACAGGAGATAAGGAGACGTCTTTTTCTTTAATATTATATAAAATGAAATCATTTTAAAACCAGTCATTTCTGCAAAACATCGAAAAAATGTATAAAAACAGTCTGTCATTCAGATGAAATTTTGACATAAAGTAGGACAATTCACTTAAAAAAATAAAAGAAATCTATATTTTTCGTGCTAATAGATAGATGATGTTATTTGTTCAACATTAGAATGCAGGAAGATAATCATACGAAATACACGTTGAACTATATACTTGAAGTCCCTCTATCTAGATCACATGTCAAGACCAAAATTTCATCGGAATAACAGATTGTTTTCATGCATTTTTTGTAATGTTTTGCAGAAATGACTGATTTTAACATGATTTCGTCTTATACAATACTGAAGAAAAAGACATCCCCTTTTCTTCTCTGTCGATTGGTGGAAATCGCAGGTATCTAGCTACTTGCATTCTTGAGTTATTTAAAAAAACAGTGGAGCACATTATATTTTGAAGTGGACAATAATTTATACAAACCAATATTTGTTGAAGATAGACTTTCAATATGATTAATTAATAGGAACGATACTGCACTTTTCTACTGATATTTCACAAATCTATTTTTTAAACTTTACAATATCTAGTCATCTTAATAACAAAAAAAACCCGGAATGATGTTTTTTTTGTCCGAATTGAATTATCAATAATTGACATTTTGCCATGTATTAGGTTGGCAACAAAGTTTTTGGATTTTTTTCAAAAATTTTATTTTTATTTTTTAACTTCAACAGTACAACTAGCTTTCAGTTATATATGCACCACTACTATCTATAACTTGTTGCCAACGCTCTGGCAGAGATAGGATCCCACGTTCGTAGAAGTCCTGGGACTTTTGACCAAAGAAGTTGGCGATATCCATTTTCACGTCGTTCTCGTCGTCGAACTTTTTCTCACGCAAATAATGAGAAAGAGAACGAAACAAATGGTAGTCCGTTGGAGCCAAGTCAGGAGAATAAGGTGGATGAGGAATGGTAATCCATTAGAGCTTCAGTAATTTTTCGCAGATCGACTTTGCAACATGGGGTCTTGCGTTATCATGCAAATAGTAAATTCGATCCTGCTTTCCCTTGACTTTTTCGGTAACCCGGTCGAATTGTTGACAGTAGAGATCAGCAGCGATGGTGCAACCACTTGGAAGAACTTCCCAGTGAATAATTCCGTTGACACTCCACCAAACGCTCAGCATCACCTTCTTGGGGTGTGGATTACTCTTAGGTGTTGCTACGCCTGTTTGACCAGGGCTTAGCCACTGGCATCTATGCATGTAGTTAATATACAACACCCACTTCTCATCACCGGTGATAAGATTGCGGAGTCATTGATAGTTGCGGTGAGATGTCATTAAATCCATACAAGCATCAACCCTGTATTGAAGTTGATGTGATGATAACTCATGGAGTATCCAAACTCCATATCTCCATGTTTTGCCTAATTCGTTCAGATGTTTTTCCACCGCAGTATGAGAGCATCCAAGCTGCTCTGCTAAACACCGTGAAGTCAATCGAGGATCTTGTTCGATAAGCTGCTTTAAGAGATCCACATCCACTTCCAGTGGCCTACCGGGTCGAGGTAAATCGTCGAGTTCTAAGTTACCGTTCTTAAAGCGATTGAACCATTGTTGTGCCGTACAAATAGTCGGTACATCCTCGCCCATCGTGCTGCATATGTTGTTGGCTGCTTCCGTTGCTTTGTGACCCAGACGGAATTCATGAAGTAAAAGCACTCGAATCTCTCTACGAAAAAGATTCATTTTCAGTTCGTGATCAGCGTTCATATCGATGACTTTTATAATTCGAAAGATATTCACACTCACTTAATATACACTTAGTATGGAAACTTCTAGAACTTTCTCGAATGTTTTAGAACATTTTTGAAAAAAAACGTAAGAACTTTGTTGCCAACCTAATAGAAAAATATTCAACAAAATCAACAGTTTTATTTTCCAATTTTGATTATCAGTTTAGTAAATCTGAAACACAAACAAAATGCAGAGCGCGACTGACCTCCGTACCAGAGATGTCCTTGGCAGCGCCATCGCCACGACAATGTCAGCAACAACTTTTTATATAGTTCACTACAGCGCGGTTTTCTGCTACCACTGTGATAGATTTTCAGCTGCCATGAACATCTATGTTCAGCATATAGTAGTGAATAGTTGAGCAACATTATACGTAAAGGCATTCTTTTTGCTTTCATCAATCTATTTTTGAAGGATTTCTAAACTAATATGTATTGTCTTGGAAATAGCTTTTAGCGTTTCAATTACAACTTGAAAAAAAATCAAAGATAATTTCTTAAAAATCCCACCATTAAAAATGAAAACTATTCGAAAATTTTTAAAATTTCTAATTTAATTTTTTTCAGATTGAGTCATGTATGACTATATAACGAGATTCTCAGTTATTAATTATCGTTTTCCGCATTTTTATAGCCCCCGAATAGAATCGAGTGTTCAAAAAGAACGGATTTCAGCTGTGCACTGATCATATTTTCATGATCTTGGTAAACTTTTTCTCATTTCGAAATGTTGGTTAAATGTGAAGAACGAGTGGCTGAGGCAACTAAGTGAGTGAAAACCAATAAGTTGGCTACTGCACTTTTTGCAGTTAGCCGCCTTTCAGTGAACGGGATTCGAAATACGAAAACGTTTGTCTCGAAAGACTCTAACTGTAATAATTCGGTCTGAAATAATTCTCCTATGAACACAGAACCATATACCTTGTTCCTACAAATCAGGAACTACATATTGTATTCTGAAGTATGGACATTCATATACAGTTCTTGGTTTTTAAAAACCATACCTACTGTCCAGAAATTGGAACCCGCGAACATATAGTGATCATCGGGAAAAGCAAAGAAAATGATTTTTATACATCCCAAGTGCTGGAAAACATGTACAAGTCCATGATCTTATTTGTTTTTGTTTTTCACAGAAGGGAATCCTGAGTAACAAGAACATTAATAACCCTAATGCTTCGTTCTCTTAACACCAAGGGAGAGAAGCATATCTCATATACAGAATAGAATATATTGAATTGCGATATAAGAGTACCAATATATCCATGGCACATGCGCAACACAGAGCGAGCATAACATATGAGAAAAAGCGCATGATCAGGCTTGTGACTGTTAAATGATAATCTTTAACCAAAAAAAACAAGCAATCGTGCAATTTGCATATATTTTATCTAGCAAGATCATACGTACTCCTTCGAGATAGGAACTATCAATTGTTATCATATTTAACAATGAATCATAATTATCAATCTAAAATATGAGTCTTAAAATAATATATTTGTTAGTTCGATCGAAGATTTGTAATTCTTATATTAATAATGAATAAATTATAATGAGAAAAGAAAGCTATAAATTAAATAATAGGACATCAAAATTATTCAATCATAATAAAATCTACAAAATTTCATATGGAATATGTACTGCTAATGTGCTACTCTTTTGTTATTTTTTTTTGTTTCTTTGCTGTATTCATACAAAAAACAAAGAATAAAACATAAAGTCTCTGAATTAAAAAAAATGAAAGTATATAGAAAAAAATAATATTTGTTCGTGTTATTTTATAAATATATAGGGAAAATATATGTATCGAAAAATTAAGCAATTCGTCGAACGACAAGTGTAGAATTCGATAATTTTGTATCACTAATTTTTCTTTTTTCATCATCACGTTTTATTTTTGTTGATGGTGGTTCCATAAATTCGAATGTATTTGATTGAAGTGATTGAACATTTTCTGTAAGAAATTTTCGTATATCAGCTAATGTTCGATTAAGATCAATTTTAACACATATTGGCATGGAAATATCAGGTAATCGAAGACGAATTGTTGTTGATGATGATGATGAAGTTTTTAAGTATTTTTCAGCAAGTTTCTCAAGATTATTTCCATCCAAAGAATTTAATGTTGTATTTACAGATGATGCAGTAGACGATTTTAATGGAATTTGTCCAGGACCAGAAAAACCAACTGTATTACCACTACCACCAAAAGGTTTAAATGTAGGTGCAACACGTTTATATTCTTCACTATGATGATCTTCAAGACGTACCTAAAACAAAATATTTAAGATAGAGAAATAAACTTTTTAAAGGACACTATCAAATAAGATGACAACCCTTCATTTGAGAAATCACCTATACCGTTTTATACAGTAACTCATGCCGTATGAAATGATATAGAATTTCATCAAGTTGTATTGCACTGAGAAACCATAAACCAGTTAACGGATATTATGGCAATAGTGAGTGATATGACTCTTCTGTAATTTTTAGCTTTTATAATATTTTAAACTCTTCGATACTACTCCTAAGAGTAAAGACAACCAATTGCGGAACTTTGTCAGAAACTGTGTGCCACCAAACTCTATAAGTATACTAATTGATATGCATCATGGTCAAATCTGTCAATTTTTCGATTTCTAACGACAGAAAAGTATATGAGTTTTACAATAAATACTTTTGAGTGTAATATTCAGCTATTCAAAATCTAAATTCACAAGAAACAAAATAAGTTAAAAACTAATCTTTGTAACTTTATTATAGGCATTGATCGGCGGATTTGATCATAATCCGTATCAATTCACAGGACAATCAATTACTTTACATACAGGGCTTGTTGACACACAGTTTTTGACAAAGTTGCGCAGTTGGTCGTCTTCACTCTTAAGTAGAAACAGCGAAGCCTTTAGGCTTGGGAAGGTTTAGATATTTGGAAAAATTTTACAGATCTCATTCTGAGCTTATATTGAATGTCGTAAATATGTTATCAACATAATTTATTTTGTATATATCGTTACATACACAAATGGTAAAATTTTGAATTTTTTTAAAGTACGTTTCGGTAGTTTCTAACAAAGCTATTCAAAAACTTCTGTTGATTTGCTCTGATGAATTTTAGAAAACTGAAAGGAAAGGTATATGAAAGATCTCTAGTACAGATTATATTGAAGTTAAGAAACATATTTGAAATAATATCTGTTTTTCATTTATTGTTGCACAGAAAAAGGATAAAAATTTGAATCGCTTTTAAAGGTATATCATTTAACTCTCGACAATATCCAGAGAAAAATTTTCTCCCGGTATACTGTAATCGATTTAGAGAGAGAGAAAAAAACTAAAGATGTACGAAACATAGGAATTTCTCAACATAGCAGTAGAATAAACGCTCCAGAAATAGTATAAGAATTATCAAAGTAATTTGTCTTCTGTTCAATAATTGCTATTGACGAATCAAAAGTGAACGATTAGGCGATTCATTGATAAAATAGAGGAGCTAAGTCGACTCAGAAGAGTAAAAAATTGTCGTATCTTGTACGTTGTTGATATAATCTCACTCAAAATCGATTAAGCTAGTCTAGAGGACACTTTGCTTCCTTAAAAAAAACATTTAGCTTTTCGGAATTTTTGTACAGAGACTAATAAGAAATAGATTTAATATAGATATGTTTATTACTTCCAATATAATGAACAGTAACAATATTTTATACATTCTTTGTTCCGCTTTTCTACGAACTTTTCAGAACAATTCAACAGGTCCTTGTGATGCAGTTGTCTTAAAGAATCCAGCAACTTCTATAAATCATTCTTTCAAAATTTGTCTATAAGTCCTCGTACACATTTCATTGTCAAATGGAAGAAATTGAAGCAAAGACAGGTGCTCGGTTGGGGGGTGAAAGGTTACTCTTTCAGACCATGCACTTTTTTTAAATATAATTGAATTGTATCCTATGCTGTCATATAGAGAAATTACGATTGTTAAATGAATCTAGTCAATTCGAAAAAAGATAAATCACGGAAGATTTGCTAGTTTAACAAAATTTGAAGATTATATGATTTGCGTATACAAAAAATACATGCAAAATAAACCCTGTTGAAAACATATCGGAAGAACTGGTATTTCTTTAATATGAATTGGAGTTGGAAAGGTATAAAATCGTCGGTCTCTGTTTATCTCACTCTTCCATTACTGCCTGACAAGTTTTGAGCCTCCCCTAGATTAGAATCGTTCCGCCATCTCTGATCTTAGGAGTAGTATCAAAGAATTTAAGACTTCATAAAAGCTGAAAATTACAGGAGCTAGGAAAAATGCTAAGTCTTTTGGTATGAAAAAAATACTATGGTGAGTATTATTAGATATACACGATTGAAGACGAGACAAAACTCTAAACAAAATTTGATATATGTTGGATTGGAGACATATTGACGAAGGAAAATGTCCCAAATGATAAATCACTTTTAAACTGTAACTATAGTACATTTTCTCGTAAGTTCTAATATATCACTCCCGATTGCTATAATCGGTATATGTCTTTTCAAAACATTAAAACTATATACCATTTGATACGCTACAAGTTGTTCTACAAAACGATATAGATGGCTTTTTAAATAAAGAATAGTCATTTTATCGAACAAAATTCTTTTGACTGTTTACTTCAACTTGTCGTCCACGATTATTTAAATTTCTAAGTTCAGGTGGTACTTCACCACGTTTAAGATGATCAATAAATTCTCTATTATCTTCAAATTTACGTAATTCACCATCACCAACAGTAAATCCATTTGAATAAAATCGAATTGGCAAATCTTCTGCTTGATTAGATGATGCAGCTTCTGATGATGATGATGATGATTGACCTTGAGTATGTGATGATGTATTATCATCTCCTATACATAGTAAAGATTAATACAACAACGAATTATTTGATTTAATACTACCTAAAGAATATCCAACACCTGCAAATGGTTTTTCTGTTTTTGTATGAGATGATGCATTAAATTTATTGTCATCAACTTCTGTAGCTCCTTGTTTACGAGCTGCTTCAAATAAATCAGTTACTTGTTTATCATTATCTTTCTTTTTTGGTGGTCCAAGAATTTGTTGACCACTATGTTCTGAACCACCGACATAAAAAGCTTGACCTTGATCATCTGATTCATCATTATCATCATCGTTAAAAGTATTTATTTTCGATGATATTATTGATTTATGACTATTAACTCGTTTTGGAATTACGACTGATGGATTAAGACGAAGACTATCTTCAAGAGCAGATTGTAATAAATCCTCTTCTAATTCATTATCATTTGTTGTACTAGATACAGTATTTTCTATATGAATAAGAACAAACAAATATTCATCATGATAAATACAACAACAAAAAAAAACCAATCAATACAAACCAGAAGGAATATTTTGATTAGTATTTGCTGACGATGATATTGTTTGTGTCGAAGGAACAGAATCATTACTTTCAAGAAAAAAATTTAGAGCTGCTTGTTCATTCCATTGTGCAGCTTCTAAATATTCTGCTGCTAATTCACTTGAACATTGTGTAATAGCAATAAAATTGCTAATAAGTTCATCTTTATTTATCGATGACATCTAAATATATCAAATACGAAATGAAATATTTGTACTTGGAATTTTCTTGTTTTTGACACGATAGAAAATATAAAAAAAAAGAGACTTCCGAAAATGATGATTCATTGATACATCTATTGGTTACATTCTCTCAACAAATCTTAAAATATATTTCAATTATAAAAAATAAAAATATTTAATGATATAAAATAAAAATCAATAGAATAATTTGAAGTTTTCAAATTCAAATAATTATTTTTTTTGTTTTTGTTAATTAACTAAATTCAATGATTATCTTCTCATTGGTTGATTATTTTGATATCAGTGATTTTTATTGGTAAACAAAGAAGAATGCTTAAAGAAGGTGTTTTCTTTTCTTCTCTTTTTTTTATCTGGTGTCCGATCATTTTGTTTTATTTTGGCTAAACTGAATTATACCAATTATAGTGTAGAAACACTTCAAAACGTTCCATCCGACATCATCCTACGAGTTAACAGACTTGTGTTTGCGTCTGTGCTCGAGTAATGTATGATTAAGATTAATTTTCTTAAATTCAAATAAAAATTTTTCTCATCTTTCAGATTAATATGAAGGTACACAAAAAAAAAAAACTATCAAAAATGTTTAACAAAAAACAAATTTTTTTTTCTCTAGCGTACATTTTCAGGAGATGAATTCGATACAAATGGTGATGGTATTGGTAATTCAAATTCACAAATAACTGATATTAATAAAAAAGTACAAACAAAAAAAAAAATTTTTTTCTTTTTAAGATAAATTATTAATAATTTATTGATTAGAGTCGTTCGGAACCTACATTACCTTCTCGTGTTGTTCATTTACGAAATATTGAAGCAAGTGAACTTGAAGTTGTACAACTTGGTCTTCCATTTGGTCGTGTAACAAATTTTCTTAATTTACGAAAAAAATCACAAGTAATTTGTTTTGTTTTTTATTCAATTCTAAAAATTTCATTTTGAAGGCTTTTCTTGAATTTGATTCAACTGAATCAGCTAAACAAATGGTTGAATATTTAACATCAATGCCAGCTATGATTAATGATCGACAAGTATTTGCACAATTTTCTAATCATGGTGAACTTCGTACAGATCCAACAAATCGTACAAATCAACAAGCACATGTTGCATTAGCACAGGCTACAGATCTTTATGAAACAGCACAAAAAGGTGGACCTAATTGTGTATTACGTGTTAGCATTATTAATATGTTATATCCTGTTACAATTGATGTTATATATCAGGTAGAAAACAATAAATTGTAATCAAATCAATATTTTTTATTTTTTTGAAGATTTTCAGTAAATTTGGTACAGTACTAAAAATAATTACATTTACAAAAAATGGTAAATGAACAGTTTTTTTTATATGAGTAAAATTTTACTTTTTTTTTGTTCTATTAGATAAATTTCAAGCACTTATTCAATTAAAAGATCCAACTGGAGCTGCACAAGCTAAATTAGTAAGTTACAAGTTAAAACTTCCGTTAGTACAATCTCTGTGGGATTAAAGTAGTATGAAACACCGTATAGTTCTTATTCGCACCCACAAGAAGAGAAATTGTCAAGATGCCCGTCGTGATGGGAGGGTGTCCAAATTTCTACACTATATACATCAATATTCCTTTTAAATCGTATTTGACAAAATCAATCCTTTGGCTTCCGGCACTTTTGGAAGATAGCATATTGTAAAATTTTGAAATTTTTATAGTAGATAGATCTTGATGAATAGAGCAAAAATTGTCATAGAGGCTAAAAGTCGTCAGTTGCAATATGTCTGATAGAATTGAAATTGATTTTTATAAATATTAGACTAGAGCCTATCGGATCGTACTTCGATATTTTGAATGAAATTTTCTAATCGAAATTGAATAGTCATCCCTGAAATATTCTGTTTTTCAGTCTTTTGAATAAATTTGTTTTTGGTTTCTTTTTATCTCCTTCCGATCGGATGTATCGTGGTTGAGAAACGGGAATGATTCTTGAAATATGTTCAGTAGATGGAAGAGAATTTCGAGAAAGATGAGATCCTCTTAAAAATCTGTATGATTAACAATTATAATTAACTTTTTTTCTTTTGAAACGCTAAATATTCAAAAATTTTTCTTTCTTTTTTTTAGCAATTACATGGTCAAAATATTTACAATGGTTGTTGTACTGTAAGTTTTTTTTTTCATAGAAATATCTTTGATAAAAATATTTTCTAATATAATATTTAGCTTCAAATTGAATATTCAAAACTTCTTTCACTTACTGTTAAATATAATAATGATAAAAGTCGAGATTATACTAATCCAACATTACCATCAGGCGAAGGAAATATGGTTCAACAAACAGAATTAGGTTAATTATTTTTATTATTCATAATGATATAATTAATTTTAATTTGTAGAACGAATGCATTCAAATACTGGTCTTCTTCCATTACAACGAACAACATCTAATGAAGATTATCGTTATGGTAAAAGAAAAACAAAAACGAACATTTTTTTTTTTTGCTTCAACATAATACTTTGATTTTCAGATTATTTTACAGCAGCTGTAGCATCACGTGGTCGACCCCCATCAACAGCTGGAATGACTCCTGGTTATGATATACCAGGTAAAAAATATTTCTTATAAAATATAATCTAAAAAGAAATCTTGAAAAATATAGAGTAGATAGATAATTACAAACTTTTCATCTGCAAACAGAATAAATGTAAGTTAGTAGAGAAACACTTCCTTTACCTAAAAGGTGTATGTGCATAATCAAGTTTTATTGCGTACCGTACACATGTCAACACGTGACGCCACATTCACCGTGATTATAATTATCGAATGTGATGGAGGTGGCGCCCTCTATTGACATTTCAGTAGTACATAATAGAATCGTACACTTTTAGATAGAGGAAATCTTTCTCTATTAACCTTTTCTAGATCTTGCTCTGAGCTCAAAAAGAAAATACCATGACAGACATTGCTGATACACGATCAAAAACCATACATCTATAACGTCTAATTGTAATATATTAACTATTTCTGAAGTAATATGTCCGAAAATGGATAGAATAAAACAATCTCTCTGTGATTAGCAATGGTAGCTGAGTCATGTTTTATATTTTAATCCTAGAGGGATTGTACTAACAGATTTTTATTTATAATTTTGTTTAGCCAATGCCAATCATTTAATGAGTCCACTTCAACCAACACCTACTGCTTATAATCCAATGGTAGGTGCTACAGCTACTCCATATGGTCATCCATATGCTTCAGCTCATCCTCCTCCACCACCACCTATTCATGGTTTACCTCCAACACATTTGCAATCTCAACAACAACAAAATCCTCATATGATATCTGTTCAAAATGGTCCAGTTATTCTTGTATCAAATCTTAATGAAGATGTGAGTTAAAGAAAAATATTAAAATTTTTTGCAAAAAATCTTTTTTTCTTTATTGAATATGATAGAAAAAAAAACATACATATATCTTTCGAATATAATATCTATTCATTTCTTCTCTTTTTTTTTCCTCTTTTGGACGATTAGATGACGACTCCAGAGTCCTTATTCACACTATTCGGTATGTGTATCTTCTCTTTCTTTTCTCATTCTTGACAGACATATCTCAAAGAGAGAAAAATAAATTTTTTTCATAAAAAATAAAAGAAAAGAAAAAATTTTCGATTTTCCATAGGTGTTTATGGTGACGTGCATCGGGTAAAAATTTTATTTAATAAAAAAGATTCAGCATTAATTCAATATGCTACAGCACAGCAAGCAGCTGTTGGTAAATATAAAAATTCTAATTCAATAAATATATTAATTTTATTTATATTAGCTCATCAAAATCTCGATCATATAACAATGTTTGGAAAACAAATACGAGTTTCATTTTCAAAACATCAATTTGTACAAATGCCAAAAGATGGTACATCGGTAATATAAAAAAAACAAAAAAGAAAACAAAACGATAATTATAATGATTTTCTTTTGTGATATAGGATATGGGTTTAACAAAAGATTTTACAAATTCTCCGTTACATCGTTTTAAAAAACCAGGATCAAAAAATTATAATAATATTTTTCCACCTGGTACTGTTCTACATTTATCAAATATTCCGTACGAGATAAAAACAAACACCGATCTTTTTTTTCCTAAGAAAATTTTTGTATCACTTATTTAGTACTGAAACAAGTGAAGAAGAAATTCGAAAAATATTTTCACAATATGGAACAATAAAACGATTTAAATTTTTTGAAAAAGATCGTAAAATGGCCTTAATTGAAATGGATACAATTGAACAAGCTATTGCTGCATTAATTGTATGTATTTTGTTTTATGAAATTCTATTTAAAAAAAAAATGATGTTGTTTTGTTTTTAGAATACACATAATTATCGTTTAGCGGATTCAATGCATCTTCGTGTTTCGTTTTCCAAGAGCAAATTGTAAATATTTTGACTCTTTCAGAAATAAGAAGCCATCGTTTTTGTTTTTCTTTTTTTTTGTTTATTGAAGTTTGTTTCGATGTCGACTTATTGTTCTTTCTCTTTTTTCTTTCATGCGAACTCAGTTTTTCTATTCATGTTCTGATGTCTTTTTTTTTGCATTCACAAAAAATAAAGAAGGCTAGGATATCATGAATGATTAAATAAGTTAATAAAAATCTCCAAATAAAAAAAAAAAACTCAGTTCGAAAATTTTGAATAAATAGATTTCACTTTATGTCGAAATCGAGCTAAAAATTTAAATTATACTGGAGGTGCGGGTGTGAATGTGTGAGTGTTGTTATTTCCTACTCTCACATCCACACCCGCATACTAACGTTAGATTTCACATCTAATTATCATAGCATTGAAAATATTAAGCTTATATTCTTAAAACATAGGTGTAGTTTGAAGTAGTAGTTTGTCTCTTTCAATGTTATCATGTACTTGAATTTTATTATTTGAAAATGTCCAATCTGTGGTTAATAAATAGCAACGGACTACAGCAATCTTCTATTTTCTACTTCATTTAT